CCAGGAGGGAATCGCACGGGCACTTCCTCGCTATCTCTGCAAAACCTAGCTGGGCCATGAAGGCCCTTGGCTATCGCTCCGAATGGACGACTTGTTGGCGAAATCTTTGCCTTTCGTCGCGTTTCTAGCCTTTGCTTGGGCTGGGCGCCATGACCTGCACTCCGACTTCCGTTTCGCAACGCCTGGACGCGAAACTCATTTCGCATGGACGGGAGCGGAATGCTTGAGATGCGAACCCACCTGAAGTGAAAATTGCGAGATCTAGTCGGAGGTATAAACAAGCTTTAGCGGCTACTTTGATATCGCATGCGAAATAGCTAACGAATTGTGCATTAATGATTTCTGTAGAAAGAGAGAAAAGAATACTTAGCTGGTGCAGTGGTTTCGTCGTTCGTGCGAGACGTGAATAATTTGAATGCCTCAGGTTCAGCCCACGACGAGCTTTTACTTTTTATACCAATATTTAAAACGAAAACAAGGATGCTTATCTGGTGTGTTTTCGCGTCCTTAGGAGCAGCTTGGCTAAGGCCCCGTTTAGATATCAAAATTTTGGTTTTTTATTATTATAGCACTTTCGTTTGTATTTGGTAAAATTATCTCAATTATGGACTATTTAGGCTTAAAAGATTCATCTCGTCAATTACGGACAAACTGTGCAATTAGTTATTCTTTTTACTTATATTTAATGCTCCATATACATGTGTCGTAAAATTTAATGTGACAAGAAATCTTAAAATTTTTGGATTTTAGATGGGATCTAAACAGGCCTAAGAAAGCAATGTCATTTCGCCTCCTCGGTAGCAGGCATGGCGAAATAGAAAACGTCATTTCGCCTTCACAGCAGCAGCATGGCGAAGCAGGAAACGCTCCTTTGCATCTTGAGCAGCAGCGTGGCGAAGCAGGGAATGCCCCTTTTTTTTTATTTGCTGTCAAAAGACCGGAAAGATTAGTTAGGCTCGAGTAGACTGCGAAATGGCTGATTTCACTGAGAAGGTCGAAATGATAGTGCCGTGTAGATTTAGTCTATAAAAACCTAATAAAATTGGTTTTATCTTTTCGAACACTTGTGTGATTTATTATTATGCATTTTACGAGCTGATTTAATCATTTTCAAGAAAAAGTAAAATACTAATAAATAATTTTGCATTGAAAACTCTATACAATTTTCGAATCGTGTCAGTGTTGCCGTGCGTGCGCGCGGATATTTGCCGGCCGAGCTGTTGTGCGGTAGCTCGATGTGGATAATCAATGCATAACCGTGTCAGGGGAGCCGTCCCCATACCAACGGGGGGATGAAAAACAGATCCGACAGGTATGAAGGGGTGTTCGCTGGGTCTGATCAATTCAGCCAGCCGGCTGATCCCCTCTAAAGTTACTACTGTTCATCAAACCAGTCAAACAGTGTTTTTTTCTCACAATAAACTAGCCGGAACAGTGTTTTTCAGCCAAGTTTCAGCCAGCCGAACGAGACGTCATTTGTTTTTATATTTTAGTCTAGATTTGGATTCAAATACAAATAGAGTCAAATATACCAGACATGATATGATTCGATATCGACATCATAAATATGCGATTTGAGTATTCGAATACGGATATGGTATCGGATGTTAAATATTTGGACTCGGATACAAACAGATCGAACCAGTGGCGAATCTAGGATTTTAGATCAGGGTATGCCGCCTAAAAATTTTTATATACAATTCGGTAAATCTATATTAGTAATTCAGTAATAATTGTAAAATCGACTACATGATTCGATATAAGTGCACTAAATAACACAATAAGGCTTAAATTTATGGATTAGTTAAGTTAAAACCATCCACTAAATACAATATAAATAGTTCAAAAGTCATACCGATAATTGAAATATAGGAGTAAAAGAGTACAAGAGACTTACAACTCTATTTCTGACTATTTTATTTAATGCTTTCGAAGGGACATAAATATTTTGATTATATCATCTTCACCAACTTCAAAGAAAATATTCCGCTCAATGAAAGTGACTAGACAATCATCTAAAAGACTATCTCCACCATATTTCATAACTTTGTTGTCACTACAACCATTGCAGAAAACACTTTCAACACTTGCCGTTGCCACGGGTAGAAGCAACACCAATTTGAGATGCTCATAAACCATTGATACACTTTGTGCCTCTTTATTTCGAAAAGCTTAACTCAGAGAGTTTCTCTTTAGAAGAGCATAAATATTAAAAAACACAATGCTAAATAATTAATCAATTTGTTGTTTGTGATGTTAGCAAATACTCCATCCATTTTAAATTATAAGACATTTTGGCTTTTCGAGATACATAAGTTTTGCTATGCACTTATATATACACTACGTCTAGATTATGCATAATAAAAGTAATGTATCTAAAAAAATCAAAATATCTTATAAATTGGAATGGAGGGAGTAGCTATGAAAGTAGATAATAATTTTCTATAATAAGACGAAGAGTAGAAGATTAAATTTTACCAAGGAGAAATAGTGAATCAACGAGCCTCTGTGACTACGTGGTCGTCGCAAATCGCAAAGCGCACACGACAGTGACCGAAGAAGGCGCAGGCACCCGCCACCAAAAACAGAGGCGTCACCGCCACGCCACGGCGTCAACAATCGGTCGGTCGGCGGCATGTTCCGTGAACCGTGACTCCTCAGCTCCGATCGACGGATCGAGATTTTTTTTAACAAATCGACGGATCAAGATAACAGCCAAAAAGTGGAAAGTCCGAGGATAACCTTGCCGCGAACTGGCCTCCTGGGCCTTCTAACTTCTTGCTTCCGTGATGGATATAGCGTAGCGTCATCTGTGATCCAAGTGATTTTTTTCCTTTTTTTAATACAAATACAGATATATAATACATATATGTTATTAGTACATGCCGGTCAGACAGGGTATGCGGTGCATACCCGGCATACCCTGTGCCTCCGCCACTGGATCGAACCCTTCTAAACGAATTCGGTCTCAAATACGGTGAGAAAACAACCGTACCGTTTTCATCCCTACCAACGGGCGGCAGCCAAATAAAGCCTGCCGGCTGCGGCGCGAGCAAGCTATGCCTATGGGCGTAGCCGTAGCCCTCCCCGCTCCTGGGCAGCACTCGCTTTCCCTAACCCCTAGACCCCTCCAGCGTGTTGCGGTACATGTGACGTGACCAAACCTGCTCGCCCGAGCACGTCTCAAATACCGGATAAGCGGCACAACTCGGACTTTTGAGGGCGCGCGCACGAGAGTTCATCGGACAAAACCGCTTCATATTTTTTAGGTTGCTAAAATTTGGCTTATACTGATTTTTATGTTGATTTGTTGTGAGAGAAAAATATTATTCGTTCGTTGAAATGTATCGTTAGAAGTAATGCTGTAGAACCGGACGAACGGGTATACAGTACTAGATGATATTATGAAAAAAAGAAAAATGCCTAAGGACGTTTTTTTTAATAAGATAAGAAAGGAAAGAAAGAAAGGAAGTAAAGGAAAGGAAAGGAAAAGAAAAGACAGTCCCCGTTCAGACGTTCACCTCGCTCTCGCTCTCGCTCTCTCGGCCTTCCTTTCGTGGCGGCGACGATTGGCGGCGATTGGCGACGCCCTCTGCGGGGTCTTCGTCAGCTCCTTTGCCGGCGACTGGCGCCCACCAGGTATGCTTGCCCCCTTCTCTTCATTCGTGCTGTTCGAAACCGAGCACCCAAACCCTAACGTAAGCTACTTATATTCGGATCTGCCCGAATTACTAGTGTATATGTTATGCCTGCTAACTTTGGTTTCGCAAAAATTATCTGGTGTGCATGTGCACACCCATATGCTGGGTCCTCCCCTATTTAGTAGCCTGATGAATGGAGGAAAGAAAATAAAAGAGACAATTTTGTGCTTTGTTCGGCCTACAAAGGCGGCAGCATCCACCCTGTTTGCTGCGATTTGGAGACAATGAGTTTGCCGACCATTATGTCTTCCTCTCCCATACCTGCACGCGCTCTTCGACTTCACTGCAGTCTACTTGTATCAGATGCGCTTAGGCGCTGTGATGTCTCATCCTTGGTTGAGCTATCCATAACGGCTTCAGCTTTGTCATAGCCCCAATCAGTAAGCACCGGCACAAGGCTTATCAAGTGGGTCGCCCAGGCTACCCAAGGTGCCATGCTTCGTAGCCTATTGGTATTGGGGAGACTAAAACTTAGAAATTTATATCCCAAATTCTGTTTGACTTGACATCGAATAGGATGTGATCAATCTCGGTGGTAGAGAGTATCATTTCTTTGATACACTAAAGATATGGATTTTGGGGACCATAATGTTTTGAAGTTGTATCGGTTCCCTTTTTTCCTGTTTACAGTTCTAGCCACTAAAGATTATGATATAGGATGGGTTTTCTTCTCTTGATCATCATCTATTGATTCCCTTCTTCATTGGATAGGAGATTTGATTCTTTAGTTCTTGCAGAAGAGACTATCAGATCTTTATGTTGTGCTTATTATTACTGTTCCTCAGTTAGCTCAATTTTACTTGGCTCATTGCTGAGATGAGTTGAATTTGCTATTCATTTTGCTGATATGAACAGGATCAGTTGGCTGTTAGAGTGCTTTTATTATCACAAAACTTCTACAGTTCATTTTCATTATTGTGGTCATCTTTGTACCTGGTACCTTCTCCTGTCTCCGTGTTCTGTATTTCTGAGAAATGTATTTGCATCAGTTGGATAATTCAAATGTGTTTTCTTTGTACGTTAAAAGTTATTCCAGCTTCAGTTCTAGACCTAGTCAGCAATGATAATTTGTTGTCTGTTATTTGATTCTTTTGTCGCTTGGTACATCGGCTGATTGCTTCAAGAAAGAAAATTGATGATAAACTTTCATTGTAACTTGCATGTGTCTTAGCCTTAGATGACTTCATGAATCTTCACTGATATTTACTCTCATAACAGGTTCTAGCTACAAATATTGGAAGATCGTTATTGGTAATTTCCAGTTATGTGCCCTGCTTTTATTCGAGATTCTTCAGGGTGATGACAGATGCCAACTCATCATTCACCGGAGGTGCTCAGTTGCAGCCAAGTAGAAGCATGAATACTGATTCATTCATGCGTGTTCCAGCGTCCCCAATATCATTTTCATCAAATAACATCTCTGGCTCCTCAGTCATTGATGGCTCCATTGTGCAGCAAAGTCCACCCCAAGACCAGGTACAAAAGCGGAGATCTTCAAGTGTAACATCACATCCCATGATTGAGGCCAATGGTGCATTGCATGCTCCAAAGAAATCAAGAATTGATGTTAGGCAAGATGAACTGCAGCAACAGCTGATTCAGCAGCTGCTCCATGGTCAGAGTTCCCTTCATCTCCAGGGGCAACAGAACCCACAGCTTCAAGCTTTGATCCAGCAGCATAAACTAGCACAGTTGCAGCAGAGGCAGCAGCAGTTGTTGCAACCGTTTGCTCAGATACAACCATCTCAAATTGGCATTTCTCGTCAGCCTCAGCTTAGGCCACCGCTAGCACAGCCGGGAATAGCTGGACCTATTAGGACTCCTGTCGATACTGGGCTTTGTTCCCGAAGGCTAATGCAGTATTTATATCACAAGCGTCATTGTCCAGAGGTGTGTTTGTGTTTCTGCACTGTATATATTGATCATGAGATTACGAGATGCAAGCCTTTGGCAGTACAATTTATTGGTACACTGTCTTGTAGAATAATCCCATAACATATTGGAGGAAGCTTGTTGAGGAATATTTTGCACCACGAGCAAGAGAGAGATGGTGTGTGTCGTCTTACGATAAGAGAGCGAACGCTTCAGTTTCTACTCCACAATCAGCTCAGGTTAGCGTTCACAGTGGAAATTTTACTTGCGATTACATTGTTCTTGACTTCTTGGTTTTGTGTTCCATGTCCAACATCACTCTCTGCTGCCCAGCATCACTTCTGTCTTGATTCCAAAACAAGATTGATTATCATCTTCTTAAACTTCTGCTTGATCATTGAACACCACATCTAATTTAGTATCTTTTAGTGGCTTCAGAATATAGTTTATAGGTATACCTTTCTGTAGTAAAAAGAATTTTCTTGTTCTAGTAGCTAAATAGAAAAGACCAATTCTTTTTGCTCTGCACATTTACAGTTAAAATGTGAAGGAGAATATTCCTTGGTCTTTTAAATTTGCAAAAGGTGAGGGATATTTATATAATGCTTCATATAGTCCTATTTTATCCATTGCAGGACACATGGCGATGTGACATATGCAATACACATGGTGGAAAAGGATATGGTTAGCTAATTTCTGTGAACTCTGGCAAACTATATTCATGATGATGTCTTTTGATATTCAAATTTAGTTTTTGTAGATTCTCTTTGAAACTTGTTGATCCCATGTTAGTTGTTAGCAACGAACTCTACTTTCCTATAAATATCTTGTGGGTTAACAAAAATGATTTATATGAAGTTTCACATTGAATCTGTGGTAAACCAAGATGAATTACAAAAGGCCAGAACAAACATGAATTTAGTATCTTGTGGTTTACAAAGTTGATACAGTTTCAGGCTGGAACAAAGATGAATTATGTGATAATACAAAATTGTAATAATGCGTCATGCATAGGCATGAAGAATGGATATGAATTGTCTCATGAATATATGCTGAGTGGCAATAATCATACTGTGCACAACTGCACATGCATGTGAAATGAGTGACTGATGACTGATCAGCCACAAATGAAGAACAATCAAAACAGCATGGCGGCATCCCATCAATCTCTACCTTTTCACATTGAATCTGTGGTAAACCAAAGATTAGCTAAACTGTGGTATCTATGCAGTGTGCACCATGCAAATGCTATTGCCTTAATATAGATGCACATCTTAGTGTTTCTTGTCCAAGTAGCTTTCTGATTTGTTACTTGTAGTACAAGTATCTCTTACTCAGGTATCCTTTTTTATGTCTGATCTCTCTGACAGAGGCTACCTATGAAGTGCTTCCTAGACTCTGTCAAATTAGATTTGATCATGGTGTTATAGATGAATACCTATTCCTTGACGTGCCCAACGAATTCCGGTTGCCTAATGGACTAATGCTGCTGGAGCATACAAAAGTTGTTCAAAAGTGTGTTTATGAACACCAACATGTTACACATGAGGGGCATTTGAGAATCATATTCACACCAGAATTGAAGGTTAGTTGCTTGCTGTAGTAGTTCGCACATGTGAGTGCAATTTTTGTAACCTGTCCATGTAGTAAGGGTCAATAACAATTCTTATCTACCATTGACTCAGATCATGTCATGGGAGTTCTGTTCACGACGACATGAAGAGTATATCACTCGCCGGGTTCTGGCACCACAGGTGGATTTCTTATACTAGCGCAGTGTTCCACTTTAATTTGGCTACAGAATTTTTAATTGTAACTTGCCCTTGCCTAGCTACATAGTAATACAGTTATTTCTTGGCAACCTAGGTCTTAGGTAATAAATTATACATGATGCCGCATAAGTCTAGTTACTTAGGACAACTTGTGTAAATGGATGAAAATGCCTCTTTCTTGTCACGACCAGACTTCTTCCACAACTATTTAGATTTTTCTTCATTCTTCATTGATGTACTGGAGGTCAGAACTGCTTCAATATACCCCAGCGAGGATCAAACCCATTTTCATGACATCTTAATGTAAATCTGTACTCTTTAAGGCATTCCCTAAGTGTGTGTTCATGTTTTACAAGTGTAACCATCATTGATGACTGATAATGATATCTTATACTGCACACATGATTCTGCCTTTCAGGTCAATAATTTGCTACAGGTTGCCCAGAAATACCAAGCGGCTGCCAGTGAAAGTGGTCCTGCTGGGGTTTCAAACAATGATGCACAAACCATTTGCAACATGTTAGTGAAGAAACTACACCTTCAGTGCTGTAATATCCATTACATTGAGATCTTTTGCCATGATAAATAGAAAATCCTGTATCTCAGAGCAATCTTATTTTTTATTGTACTAATGCAAAGGCATCATTTTGTTTTGTGCTGTTAGGTTTGTGACTGCATCACGGCAACTAGTGAAGAATCTGGAGCAGCACACCTTGAATGAACATGGTCTTTCTAAACGATATGTTCGCTGCCTGCAGGTAATTACTGGCTTTTACCGTTGCATTGTATACTTTTCAATGTTGCCCCACAAATCCTGCTTAGATTTTAGTACATTATATCATTATATCTGCATGTGCATCCTATGGTTTCCTTACATTCATATAAATCAAGCACACACTGATAGTTATCTGTCCTTGTCAGATATCGGAGGTGGTGAATCACATGAAGGACTTGATTGAGTTCACCAACAAAAACAATCTTGGTCCTATAGGTATGATCATGCACATTTACCTATCACTGTCTTCAGTTTTCACCTAGTTGTCAATTGTTAGTTGTCTGTGACTCTGTGTCAACAAATTTTCCTAAAGTAGGTTCTAACTAATGTTTTCCCACTGTTTCCAAGAAGATGGTAGGACATATATTAAAACGATATGCCTCCTTCAGAAAAGTTGATTGCTAGTTCAAGTTTTGTTGTACAAACGAAACTTGTAGCACTAGAAACAGGAGTTCTCCATAAAGGAAGGAACCCAGCTGACACTATGTGATTACATGTCAAAGTCAGTTGTTTTTGGACCTAATGAAGCTGAATATAGTGCTTGGTATAGATTCGAAAAATATGAACAGGAGTACATTTTATTAATGTATGTCTGTACACAAAGTTTGTGCTGTGGATTTACCAAAAGAATTTGAAAAAAAAAGTCTTCACAAGCCTCTGGTTAAAAACTTAAATCCTTCAGTCATATGCCACTGTCAAGTGACTATGGGGGTCCCACTTGTCAGACACATCGATGGCATATAAAGGATTAATAGTTTTCTTGGTGTCATATAAAGAAATCAGATATGATTGTGTTGCTTTATTTGTTTTTCCTTCTGAGAACAGCAAAAGATTGAAGTATATGATATGGACAGTGGCAAAAGCAGTAGATTATAATAATATTCTGATATAGGCCACACTTCCTGCTTGCCTCATCTACCTTTTGGTGTCTTTTTAATGTGCACTGTATTCATATGCAGAGGGCCTGAAGAATTATCCAAAACGAAATGTACCAAAGCTTCCAGGACAGAATTCGCATGAGGCAAAACAAATAACGGCTGCTGCTGGTCTTCCCAATGACCAGAACAACACCAAAGTTATGGGTGTCAAACAAGAAATAAGCGCTCATGTGGACAACGGAACTTCTGTTGCTGGAGCCATTGGTAATAGTACTCCACAGAATGCTGCAACACTAAACAGTTACCAGAATTTACTCAGAAGCTCCAGTGCAAATCAGAGTCTTCTTCAGCAGGAGGCATCCAGTGTCTTCAAAGGTCCTGCTGCAATGTACAATGGCATGCAGCTGGAAGCATCTAGATCCTTCCGTGGACTGAACCAAGTACAGCTAGCACAATTCCAATATTCTGGGTCATTTCAGCACCCACTGCCTCAGCACAACAATCTCCAGGGCTTGGGAGTGCAAAATAATCACCAGGGCTTGGGTGCGAGCCCACAGTATCAGCAGCATGTTTTAAATCAGCTGCTTCAAGAAGTTAAGAACACTAACAGCCGCACATTGCCACAGCAACCACCTCCAGACACCCCTAATGTAAGCAGCGGTATCACATCAGGAGGTGCTAACACCAACAGTGCTGCTACCAGAGAGCAGGCACAGCGCATCAATAACAGCGCAGTAAAGGATGCAGCTACGGTCGGTACCGGGCCTAGTAATGTGATCAACAACAGCACAGCCAGCATTGCCCCCAGCAGAAGTAACAGTTTCAAGTCGGTAAGCAGCAATCCAGCCGCTGCCGCCGCTGCTGGAGGCAATGCCGCGACTTCGAAGGCTGAGCCCTTCCACGAATTTGATGACTTCGAGCAACTCCTCACTAATGAATTGGTGGGAAACGAGTTCTTGTGGGACAATTGACAGAGTACAAAGACATCTCACTGCTCAGACTTCAGTGTAAGCGTTGAGAAACAGCCTTCTTGGCTGCTAGTATGGAAACTAGCGTGTGGCGATGGAAAGTTGCCCTGGATTCTAGTTTCGGTTTCGTTTCTCTTTTTGTAGTTTTTGTATTGTATTGCCGTTAGGGACAGTTAACTGATGTAACTTGAGATGTGTGAGATAGGAGTTGGATTTGGCTTGTAAATGTGAGAGCAGTGACCCAGAGTTACTATAGAATGTCTCTTGTGTTTGTTGAATTATCTATGAATTCCATGTGTGATTATCCCCGGGCTGAACTTCGACAGCGTGGAAGCAGCAAAAGAAGTTGATTGTTCATGATCAGCGCGGAGGCTGAACTTCGGTTTGGTGGTTGGCTGGTTGCAGCACCTGTACTATGTACCCAATATTGTTCATGATCAGTGCTGGTTGTCCCAAATGCTTTGTTTGGGTTCAAATATTGTGTCAAGCAAGGCTAAGCTAAAAACGCGTGGGATTTCAAAGGAAGGAAAAATGAAATACTAGTGATAAGATGTCACCTTTTGTCACAGGCTTCCCCGCAGGTAGATGAAGGCTACAGTACCATATACACTAAATATCACGATACGCGTGGTCCGCACGTAGATGAACACAGTACCGCATAGAATGTCTTTCCACGCTGTTTACACTAGAAGAACGCGGGAACTCGAAGCTTCTAAGATTGTACCATCAAAAAATCGATTAGATGTGAATCGATATCAACTGGTTTTGATGCAGTGTCGGAATCGGCTATTTTATAGATGACATCAGTCAGATAACGTCAATGAACTACATACGGATAGCGTCGGGAAAAACATGTCGAACTCTAAAAAAAAGAAAAGATTAGGGTCCAAGTTATCTTAAGTTAGCAATGTTTTCTTTTACTACAAGAATTATAATTAGTCGTATTTGAGTAGGAATAATATTTAGGTTCCGGGTATAAATATTGAACCTCGGCCATTGTAAACAGACAACCAATCAATCAATACAATTACTTTTTTCGGCTTCATGTCAAGCCTTAGGAGTAGAAGTACTGTAGATCTCGGCGAGTTCTTCAACAAATAGGGCTGCATCGACTGATCGACCTCCGGCTTATCTGTAAGTACCGTCACGACTTGTATCATACTTGTAAAGCTGCATCAGTCGATTGATCTTTTACGAGTATAATATAAGTTAGTTATCGATCTATATCATTATTTGTAAGGTTGCATCAGCTGATTGATCTCTTACGAATTATAATATAGATCAAAGTTATCGATCTTTTATTAAATAACTTATTGTTTAATACAATATCACCAGTTATCGAACTCTGCTAAGATCAATAAGATTTTCTTGCTGTTTTTGGTTGATTCACCAGTTATCGATCTTGTTATAATTAATGTTCTATTAATCATAACAAATCATCTAATTCACATAGAGATAGATCGACATCATATCATCATAATTGGTCGCCTTCTAGTCTGGTCACACTTTGAATCTCATGATTGACGACTTAATTCCGCTAGATCGACTATTTTATCTCTATTCCAATTAAGCATAGTATGCATTCAAAGACATGTTCCAATCTTGAATAAACTCACTAGTTAATGAGATCTAATCTAATGACACTACCATAGCTGCATCGATCCGGTTGAACCTCACTGGTAAGACTTTAGATTAGAGATTATCAATTGGTGGTTTTGTTAATGATCGAGATATGTACTCTGTTTGTCTGCTATGCATGCATCGGCTATTTTAGCCGATTCATCTGTGCTTTCACACATATAGCATGTTTCATGAACCTGTCAATATATGAATGGTTTTATAGATTCTTTGGCTTTAGTTTGTTATCATTATCATAGCTGTATCGATCCGGTCGAACCTCACTGTTGATGGTAACAGATTAGATTCAGAGTGTTTGTAGATTCATTTGTATTATATAGTCGATTTGTTCGCATATTATATCTTTTCTTGTTAAACTTATTGGTTCAATGCTTTACACTGGTTATATCCATCTAGCTGATGATGTTTCTTCATATTACTTATATCTGGGTGCGTTATACTTTTATCATAAATCAATCATGACCCACGAGCATCACAGTCCTTAACAGTCGATTTCTCCTTGTATCGGCTATTTAGTCAATTCCTCTGTTTGGTTGCTTTTGAAGCAGCACACTTAGAACTGTCTGAGCAACACTGGCATGTTCTACCCTAAATTATTAATAAGCTTTCTCTCCTTGTCAATTGCAGGTCAAATTGACTGTCACGCTTTCGGGACTTTCAGGATCGATTGGTCCTATGTTGAAGACAAGCAGATCTCCAGGTCGTTTCGGCTTACAGCGTGTCCGGCGCATCGACACACGTTTTTGCGCTGACACGCATTCTGGCACGCCCGGTGGGACTCCACAATTGTCATGGCAGCTCACAACAATAAGGACATTCTTATGGTGCCTTATGAAGACTTACTTGATGAGGATAAAAGTGTCATTGGTAAAGCTATAGAAGAGTTTTAGAACAAGTGTTTGTTGTCCTACACCAAGACACGTGACAATAAAGTTATTTAGAAATATCCACTACCAAGGGTTTTGATGCATGGGCAGTCAGATACAGATGAAGCTGCTGATAGACGTTTCTTTGTAGATGCTGTAAATAAATCTGTTCATGATGCCATGTTGAATCATAATACAACTTTCTTAAACGCATTCCACAATACCATGAAGGAGGTGTTTCATGGATATCCAATCGATCAGATTGGACCGGCTTATTACAACATCCCACATCCATCGACTCAGGGGACTAATCAAGCCGGTACTAGCCATCAAGAAGTAGCACTAGCTAGCAATGATGATGTCCAGGCAGTTCAGAGCTCATCTGAGCAAGTTTAGGGTACTACTGCTAATCAAATACAGTATAATCCTGGATCATCAGTGCAGCATGTGCAACAGTCGACAGGGCAAGCTCAAAATCAAATGGTTAATTTTGGCACATCAGGCCAAATACCACCGTTGACTCAAAAAATAGCACCATCAGTTCAAAGGATTCATAGAGATACAGATACCAACATTTACAATCAGAGACTTCAAGCAATAAATCAGCAAAGGGCTCAACAGATGGAGATTCCACAAAGATATCATTATGGTATAGATTATAATACCCTTTATATGATTCCAAATCCATGGTATCAAGGTACCCAAAATTTTAATCCGCAGATGGGTCAGCAATTGCAAAGGAGTCTGAATTTAAATGCTGATGAGTTGTTGCTCAGAGTAACCGAGATGTTGAAAAATCTGTTTGGTTTAAAACCAAAAGGGCAGACCTTTTCGTACAAACGTCCATGTCTAGAGTGGTATGATTTGGTTGCTCTTCCTATAAATTACAGGCTTCCGAAATTTGCTAAGTTCACTGGTCAAGATAGTACAAGCACAATAGAATATGTCAGTCGGTATCTTACTCAGTTGGGAGAAGCATCCATTGAAGAAGCTCATCGAGTTCGTTTCTTCTCTTTGTCCCTGTCAGAGCCAGCTTTCACCTAGTTTTCATCGTTACCAGTTAATTCTATTGCCAGTTGGATTGACCTGAAGAAGAAATTTCATACATATTTTTATACTAGGATAGGAGAAAAGAAAATCATAGAATTGACGACCATAAGGCAAAGAACTAATGAATCAGGTGCCGAGTTTCTTCAGAGGTTTCGAGAAACAAAGAAATTTGTGTTTTTCATTGAATCTGACTGATGATCAGCCAACTGCTTTGGCTGTTCAAGGAATGTTGCCAACATGGAGAGAAAAACTGATTGGGCAAGAGTTTGACAATTTAGGTCAGTTGGTTCAACGGGTGGCAGCACTTAATAGCCAATTCCAGAATATGCGTAGAAATATCCGATTCTAGATGAATGCCACAATTGCTGAAGCTTATAATCCATATTTAGTTGATGATGATGGTGAGGCTGATGAAGAAGAAGAGATTGCTGCAGGTGAATGGAAATTAGGGTAAGAAGACAGTAATGGTGCCAAACCTTAGGAAAAAGAGTTGAAGAAAGTTAAGATTTTGATGTCACAAAATCAGACAAGCTCTTTAATTTCTTGCTTGAGAGAGGACAGATGAAATTGCCCGCCAATCATGTTATGTTACCTCCTGATAAGTTGAAGAATAAGAAGTTCTGCAAATTTCATAACACTACTCATTCTACTAATGAGTGCAGAATTTTCCAGCAACATATACAGAGGGCTATTCAGCAAGGGAAGCTTAAATTTGATACACCTTAGAAGATGAAAGTTGATGATAATCCTTTTTCAAGGGATCAGAATATGGTTGATGCTAAGTTGTTGAAAGGGAAGACTAAAGTTCTAACATCAACTAGGGCCAAGGAAACTGGAACAGTTGATCCAGAGATGCAAATATCGGCTGATAAATATAGAGAAATTAAAAGATGCATTGACCAACAGAAGAGCCGATATGAGCAGGGAGAGACGTCAAGAAACGGGGCGATGAGGCCGCGTGTTACATCTCAAATTTTGTTGAATAAATAGCAATGGCAGAAGAAAAAGGATTATCAGCATTGGTTAGAAGAGAAAGAATACTAGCGTCAACAAGAAGAGGAGAGGTACGAAAGAAAACAACCTGAATCACATTGAAATTATCCTTTTTTCAGGCATTGTTGGAATGAATGTTTGAAATTGCCTACTAGAAATAATTTCCCAGAGTGTAGTGAATAATATTAGGAGTTTAGGCAATCTCAAGCCAATCACCAGTCTATCCATGCTCGAATTGAGTATCATCATGATAATATGGATCGGTGCTTAAAAAATAAAAGTGTTCATGATCGGCTTGAGAAGCGAGTTGATCAAAATTGGGCTGATTATGAAGAAGAAGGTGATGAGGAAGAGTATATTTGGCAGGAAGGACAATGGTGTCCAGGAGGTTTAACAAGAAGTCGGAAAAGAAGGGTACAACACCTAAGGAATAGAGAGCTAGAACAGGCTCAGAAA